TGCTGAAGCTGCTCAAGAATCCGCCGGACAGCGAGACACATCTGCTGGAGGCGGCCAAGGCTGGAGATTTGGATGCAGTGCGTCGCATTGTGCTTAACAATCCGCATACGGTCAACTGCAGGGATCTGGATGGACGTCACTCGACGCCGCTGCACTTTGCCGCCGGCTTCAATCGTGTGCCCGTGGTGCAATTTCTGCTGGAACACGGCGCCGAGGTGTATGCTGCCGACAAAGGTGGCCTGGTGCCGCTGCACAATGCCTGCTCGTATGGCCACTACGAGGTTACCGAGCTGCTCGTCAAGCATGGCGCCAATGTGAATGTTTCCGATTTGTGGAAATTTACGCCGCTCCACGAGGCCGCTGCCAAGGGCAAGTACGATATATGCAAGTTGCTCCTTAAACACGGCGCTGATCCCATGAAAAAGAATCGTGATGGCGCCACGCCTGCTGATCTCGTCAAAGATTCGGATCATGATGTCGCTGAGCTTTTGCGTGGTCCCTCCGCGCTGCTGGATGCGGCCAAAAAGGGCAATCTGGCGCGTGTGCAGCGTCTGGTCACGCCGGAGACGATCAACTGCCGGGATTTAAATGGACGCAACTCCACGCCGCTTCATCTAGCCGCGGGTTACAATAATTTCGAATGTGCCGAGTATCTGCTGGAGCATGGCGCCGATGTTAATGCCCAGGACAAGGGCGGACTCATACCGCTACACAATGCCAGCTCCTATGGACATTTGGATATCGCCGCGCTGCTGATCAAGCACAAGACGGTGGTCAATGCCACGGACAAATGGGGCTTCACGCCGCTGCATGAGGCCGCGCAAAAGGGTCGCACGCAGCTGTGCTCCTTGCTACTGGCTCATGGTGCCGATGCCTACATGAAAAACCAGGAGGGACAAACCCCCATAGAGCTGGCCACAGCAGATGATGTCAAGTGCCTACTGCAAGACGCCATGACCACGTCGCTCAGTCAGCATGCACTCAACGCCTCCACGCAATCGTTGGCCCCCAGCTCGTTGGCGCCGGATGCTGCAGCAGCCGCTAATGCTGCAACAGCTGCTACGGCTGCATCAGCATCTGCATCCGCGGCGGCGGCACTGCTCTCACCCACCACGGAGACAGTTTTGCTGCCCTCGGGCGCTTCCATGACGCTCAGCGTGCCAGTGTCGTTGCCTCTGCATAGTTGTGCCACACGCCTCAGTCCTGCCCAGGGCGCCGAGGCACATGGCGCCGAGAATACGGGCAGCGAGGAGCTGCTGCCCGATCCGGAGTCGATAACAAATGTATCCGGTTTCTTGAGCAGCCAGCAATTGCATCATTTAATCGAACTGTTCGAACGCGAGCAAATCACTCTGGACATATTGGCCGAGATGGGTCATGATGATCTCAAGCAGGTGGGCGTGTGTGCCTATGGGTTTCGACACAAGATACTCAAGGGCATTGCGCAGCTGCGAGCCACGACGGGTGAGTACCGCATGCTCAAATAAAATTCTTTGATATATTTCGCTATTCTCGCCAGGCATTGGCAACAATGTGAATCTGTGCACGCTGCTGGTGGACCTGCTGACGGATGACAAGGAGTTTGTCGCTGTTGAGGAGGAGATGCAGGCTACCATACGGGAGCATCGTGATAATGGACAAGCAGGCGGTTATTTCACACGCTACAACATTGTTAGGGTACGATTGACTGAGCCAATTCGCTCCAGCGCTTCGTCTTACAATATACAACTTTATTGCAGGTACAAAAGGTGCAGAATCGTAAGTTGTGGGAGCGGTATGCGCATCGGCGCCAAGAGATTGCCGAGGAGAACTTTTTGCAGTCCAACGAGCGCATGCTCTTCCATGGCAGCCCCTTTATCAATGCCATTGTGCAGCGTGGCTTTGATGAGCGGCACGCCTACATAGGCGGCATGTTCGGTGCTGGCATTTATTTTGCCGAACACAGCTCGAAGAGCAATCAGTATGTATATGGCATAGGCGGCGGCATAGGCTGTCCATCGCACAAGGACAAATCCTGCTATGTGTGTCCCAGGTAGGGTTTCATCATCGCCAACCTAGACTCTCCTGTTACTTATTGTTATCTGCCTTGCAGGCAACTGCTGCTGTGCCGCGTTGCGCTGGGCAAATCATTTTTGCAGTACAGCGCCATGAAGATGGCACATGCGCCGCCCGGACACCATTCGGTGATTGGTCGTCCCTCGGCGGGTGGCCTGCACTTTGCTGAATATGTTGTCTATCGGGGTGAACAGGTAATCTATATCGAAATATGCTTAGCAAGCAGCTCTACTAACAAACATCATTTGCAGTCTTATCCAGAGTATTTGATAACTTACCAAATTGTCAAGCCCGATGATTGCAATAACGGCTCGGAGGAAACAAGCTGATGGATGCCCTCGGTTGGCTCGACGCCCACAACAACATCGCCGGCACCGCAACAGCAACCACTACAGACCTCAGCGCCAGTTCAAGTTTTCGCCACAGTCACAGCCAAATTCACAGGCCCGGCCACGGCCACGGCGACAGTTACAGTTACAGCTCCAGTTGCCAAGCGGCGGCATAAGCATGCCCAGAAATATCAACAGCAACCAGTGCCGCATTTGCCTTCGCCGTTGCAGCTGCAGTATCAGCATTATCAGCCGCAGCAGCCGCTGGTGACCACTACGCAACCAGCCCCGGCTGGTGTTTTTAGCACGCACAACAACAACATGCACCATACCTATAGCAATATTAACAATAATAACAACAACAACAACGGCAGCAACAACAGCAACACAAGTAACAACAACAATGATATGTCACCCATATCGAATAGCAATAGCTACTCTTCGGTGGATACAAATCAAACGCTACTCAACTCGATGGTAAATCAGCGCGGAGGCAGCAACCACAGCCAGCAGAATCGTTCGGCGCCGAGCCACAGCCGCAAATACAGTCAATTTATGATCATCACGCCCGCCGTTTCCATTGATCGTGATGTATATGAATCGCATGATGATTATGAATCGCATTTGGATTTCGAGGACTTTGCCAATGCGGCGCACAACAATGGCAATCTGTTCCGTTTGGGTCTGCGGCGTAGTGACAGCAGCAGCGATGACAGCGGACACAGCAGCGACAGCAGCTTTCGCTCCAATTACAATCCCTATTTGCATCACAGTCGCCAGCATTTGCTAGCCAAGAAGGGCCATAATAATGGAGGCGGCGGCGGTGCTGGTGCACACCAATTTTATGCCTTCTCCTCCTGGCGCTGGTGCACGTTGCTGTGCGCTGCGATGCGTTGCTTTGGCGCCGGGCATGGCAATCAGGCCCCCTACAGCAGCTCCTTTGTGCATCATCGTTTACGTCGCTGTTCCTCCTACAATGCGGACACCGCCTATGATTATGAGCATTTCGCAGCGCCGTTTAAAGCTCGGAAGACACGCGATCATATGAATAATATTACGTATGAGTTGTGACGGTGGCCGCTGCCTGAAATCGATATGCATTTTGATCTCTTTGTCGCCGTTGTATTTGTTGGTCTAATCCTAAAATTTCAACTCCTTATTAGACTTTTATTACAAATTATTATTAGCTATAAATGTCGTGTACTGTGTCTCGTCGTATATTCTAGCTACTTTACAAATCTGATTGTCAAATCAAAAAAAAAAAAAACTGAAAGAGCAGCACATTTTTTGAGTGATTTTAATTCGAACTTACGAGTAATTAATATTTAAAAAACAATACGATTATACGAAAAAACAAGAATTGAAAACAATACATAAGTATGAGTATGCAATATGCACGCGCGTTTACTTAAGTGTTTAAATTTAGCTAATTAATTTAACAAATGACAACAATTCAAACTCCAATTAAATTTAAATAGACATATATATATACATAAATATATATATATATATACATAAATATATATATATATATATATACATAAATATATATATATATATACATAAATATATATATACATAAAAATATATATACATAAAAATAAATTAACGGTATTTTAATAAAATGATTTGATTTGAAAAGCGCGCATAGTGTGCATAGCAGTGAGCTTGGGATTGTTCTAGCACTTGAAGTTGGCTGCTTACAGCTGGCAGGTCAAGATGTGTAGTTGCTGCAAGCTGGCTGGGCTCAAGTGCAAAAGCTGCCAAATATAACACTCACCTCTGCTGCTGCGGCCGTTGCTGCAGTTGGCGTAATTTGCAACTGTCAAACCGCTGTCAAGTTTAAGTGCGCGTACAAAAATGTTTAAGCTGCCGAGCGCAGTTTGAAGAATAATGATGATGAACGCCAAAATACGCAAATATCTTTCTTTTGGCCACGCACACGGCACACACATAATCACATTTCACTGTCAAAATGCGGCACCTAACGTTGCGGTCGATGCTCGTTTTTACTCTTCTCTCATTTCTTTCTTTTTTTGCTTTGTTTTTTTTTTTTTTTTTTTTTTTTTTTGGCAACATATGCAAGTAATTTGATTAAATTATATAATTACAGGGCTTCACAGCAGGCAGAGAAGCGACTGCTCTGCCACACAGTGACGGAGGCATGCCACCACATTTTGGCTCACCGACCCGTGATAAACAAGGAACGTTGGCTGCGACACTCACTGCAGGCCGGGACTAGTGCAATTTGGATTTTCGCATAACAACAAATAAGCACCAGGCACGACCTACATCAGGTGACGTTTTAATGTTGCACACCACTTAGCACACACGCACACAAATGCCTATAACAATATCAATAAGCCAAGCGAGTCGTCGGCTTTTCTAGCTTGGCTTAAACACTGTGATTACAACAGCCTATTGCGTAGCTATAATTTAATTAAAATATAGAGGCATTAATAATCAAATACAAAAAATGTGCCTGTGGCACAGACACTTGCCGCATGTTGCAGTTGCAATTGCCTGCGTCGCTTTGGCACTCAACAAATATCATAGACACCTAATTGTTAACACGCCCCAAAGAAAATGTTAATCGTTGTTTTTTTTTATTCAATTTGGCATATACAATATACATAAATATGTACTAAAATTAGATGCTGAAAAGCGTCTAAGTAAAAAATTAGTTTAAATTATAATTTGTTGTTTTGTTTCGTTTGATCTTAACTGCCTAACTCATTCGTTTAATCATCCATTTCATCCATGCTGCTTGGCTCCATCGATTCGCGTTTCTGCGTTTGACTATGCTCATTCGCGATGGTCGCTTGGACCAGTTCGCGCGTAAACTTCTCGACCAGGCGCATGGACATCGCATGTGGCAGCTCGTTCAGCGAATGCGATACAAATTCGCCAAAGGCGCGAAACTTTGGATATGTGGTTATTGCTGTTATTGTCGTGTTTGTTGTTGTTGCTGATGCTGATGTCGCCGGTGCTGCTGCAGAATGGCCTTCTGGACGTCGCTTGGCAGCCGGCGGCTCCTCTTCCTGTGCCTGTGGTGCACGTTTCGGTTTGGCCACGCGAAGCAGCAGCTCCGGCTGTCGACAGTTTGCCATTGGAAGCGCTGCTTTTCCATTAAGCATGTTGTTATTGCTATTGTTATTGCTGATGTTGTTGCTGCTGCTGTTGTTGATGTTGTTGCTGCTAGCGCTTATCGCATTGTTGACATTCGTGGGTGTGCTGTGTGGTATGCTGCAATAGACTTGTATATTAGCTTTATACCCATAGCTATGAACTGCACTCACCTGAGCATAGTGGTCACGGGCAGCGGCCCGCCATCACAGTCAAAATCCTCGCCATCCTCATAATCCGGCTCCAGCTCGTGCTTAATACCCTTGGCTGGTCCATTGCTTTCGCTATTCCCATCATCCACATCGAATGGCTCCTCGTCATCCTCTTCGTCCAGAGATTTACACTGCGTCTTGTATGAACGTCTGCTGCGTATGTGCTCCGAGAGAAAACTAAGATTCTCGAACAATGGCCACTGGCTGCCCGATATCGACAGCGAATTGTTTTCCACTCGACGCTTTTCGATATTATAGCGATTACGCAGCGTGATCATGCGTTCACGCAATATAGAAACTGTGCGGGGCGGCCATTAGAAATATGATAGTAATAATAATTAGTAGACTTTTTCAGCTATTTGACTCTTATTATATACACACTTACCGTCATAGCCCAACTTGTGTGAGATTTGCATCCAGAGCTGGGCAACGTGTATTTTATCCTTGAAGCGCTTATTCGACCGATCATACAACGCTGGCCGTGAGCGAAATTCACGTATTAGACCCAAATCGAATTCACCGGTTTGGGCGTAAGATGCGCGCGGACGGCCCCGGCCCTTCGGCTGGTGTACGGGCAGCGAGAGGTTCGCCTGCAGCAGCGGCGACGAGGCACGTTCCATTTTCAGAATGCTCAGTTCGGGCTGTATTATGGTTTTGAGTTCGATTAAATTCGTATTCATATTTAATTTTATTTGTATAAATTTAAAAAAAATATAAACAGTAAATTGTTGGAATATTTACTCGAAATGGTTTATACGCTGCCTGCTACGACGCGCCAGCAAAAACAAAAACAGCGCAAGCATAGGCAAAGTAAAAAAAAAAAAAATGAAAAAAATTTATAAATAAAAAATATTTAGGCGCTGCGCGGGGTACATCACATTATGTTTGTATGTATATGTACATAAATATGTTTACAATTCGTTTTTTTCGCTCGCGCAAAACTTACTTTCGATTTGCACGCGAAATATATATTTTACTTTTAATTCGATTTGTTTTTATATTTAACACACAGCACCAACAATAATAAAAATAACGAAGGCACACACAACAGGCGGGCAAGCGATTGCTCGGCTTGTTGTTTTTTTTTTTACTCTTCCACTAACAACGACGTCGACGACGACGACGACGCCGACGCCGATACCATCACAAAATGCACCAAACGCGTGGCATAGAACAAATAGCGTAAAAATACCAAAATTAAATACTAACAGCAGCTGATCGAGAGCGCGCTATTTTTAAATTTGGTGTACACATTGGCGACTTTACTTCGAATTGATATTTTAAATAAATATATTTGACATTCTGCTTAAATTTACTTTATGCAAACCAACGCACTAGTTTTTCAATGCTTACGAATATTTAAATATGTACTATCTTGCCTATAATATTTTGTTAAAAGTTCAAATATTATTTTAAGCTCTTGAAATCAATAAAGGCAATAAATATAAATATAAATATAAATATTTTGAATGATAACAGTGATCACTCGCAAATAAATGAACAAAAAACTAAAATTAATTTTAACGATATTTTTAATGTTGTTATATTCCAACGTCCACTATTAAAAACTCACCCGGTTGTCCATGCTTGAAACGCAACTGTACCAAGTTGACAATTATAAAGGCTGTAACGATGGATAAAATTCAAAATGAGATTCGATTGTTGAATTTTTAACATAAAATGCTTGATTTAAATATTGTAAATATTTCTTACGATTAATATAACTTAACATACTAGGTTATTTTTTTTATATTTAAGCTTAAGAGAGATGTCTAGTTATTCATATATTTTTAGATTCAATCGATGTTGTGGCACAAACCGCGCATAGGCCGGGACAAGTGCAATGTTTAATTCATAACGCAAAACGTTGACACCTTCCCGTCCTGCAAGCAATTTGTGATAAAGCCATATTGTCGATCTGCTTATTTTTTGTGTATAGAATTTCACAAGTGCCCAAATAAACCGAATTACAAAATAATTGTTTGCTCCCACAAAAAAAAAAAAAAAAAAAAAAAACGGGTATAAAATAAAAACAGGTAGAAAAACAGATCAGTGCCTAAAAATCTCATATTTCAAAAACATACAAGAAAATAATATACAAAAAAATCATTTCATATTAAATTTCCGTCCGAACTACTTGAACGCTGAACTCTCCCCGTCCTTTATTATTTTTTTTTGAACATCTTTGTGCGGGCGAGAGAACAATGAATCGCTAAGGCTCTGAGCAGGGCTCTTCGTGAGGCTGGCGAAACTAAAGTACCTTTGCCTAGCAGGTAAAATTAAACGCTGCAAATCAAGCGTTAAATGCCATTTACTTACGCCTCAAGGAATTTCAGATACATAAGATGCTATATACATAAATACACCATATACTAGACTTTTATGCTTATGTATTATGTGCTGCTGTTGCCTAACATCAACAAATTTTGAAATCCAAAGCGTGACAAAATTCGTAGAATCTCTGGAGGAAGCAAAGGCAAAGCTGGCAAATATGAATTATGTGAGAGCTGAGAGCTGCTGAGCTGCTGGGCTGAAAGAAATTGCCACAGCAGCAGAAAAAATCAAAGTTTTCAGAGCACTTACAAATATGTATATATGGTATATACATATATATATATATATATATGTATATAGTACATATTTATGTGGCGACTTGAGTCTTGGGGCTGCGACAATTTTTTTCCTTCTTTTCTCGTTTTTGTGGCTCGCAGCGTATCGCCTATCTTTGGCATATAAAAAATGGGGGAGCACAGAGCTGGTTCGGGCATATTTGTTTATATGATCGCAGCGAGCATTAGCTTTAGATTTAATGACACACACACTCGCACACACTCACCCACACACACAATTAGGAAATTAAACCCCAGCGAAGACGAAAAAATGAACGAGCGCTGCAATAAATTCATATTTATTTATTTTTCTTAGGCAAATACGCCCCCAACAAACCCGGCCAGCCAACAACAACAGCTTCAAGACTCGGGCTGCCCGAATTCGTGCTCAAGACTCGGCTGCTCCATTGAGGAATTGTAAAGCACCCGGCCCAGAACGACCAAAGCGGAAACGCAAATAGACGGGCGATAAAAAGCAATAAGGAAAAGGAGAGGGGCACTAAAAAAAAGAACTGAACGCCACATAAATTTGAAATAACTAATAATTCAATGAAAAGCCAGCAACGTGAAGTATATCATGTAATAATATTTGTTTATGCAAACAGCTGACAAGACTGAAACAACAGACTAGGCTGAGGCCCGCGAGCCAGGCCAACATGCAACACATTCAACATGGGGCAGCAACAGGCAAACAACGAACAGCCAGTTCCTTCTCTCGTTTGCGGAAAATCTGGCTCTAATTTAAAAGTGCAGCAATAACGCGAAAAGTTCTGCAGCGGGAATTCTGGCTTTTATTCAAAGCGCACTTGACTAATTTCTAGGATCGTTTTTCAATTAATTAAGTTATTTATTTATATCAAACTCTCTTTAGATTTAATTTTAGCCTTTTTTATTGTCGAACTAGTTTTTGTTTGCTCCTCAAAGTGGGCAACACTGACAGGCAGGGTCCACCTTGGCTAAACCAACGGGCGCATGAACGCAGCCAACACTTCAGCCTAAGACGTGGAATAGGGGAGAGCTGTAGCAGAGGAGGACGCGGGTGCGGCGTGTGAATTGCTTTTGGCATCAACAGATCGGTCAGTGCTGCCAACTAGTCTCGATTATGTTGCCCAGGCAATATGAAGAGTATGCCAAACCGGGCTGATGGAGATACGCAGCTTGTAAATATATACAAGAAGACTGCGTTAGCTTGTTATTATAAGTATTATTAGTCGGGGGCAGAATGAAGAGAACTTGATTTTGAAGACGAATAAACATAATAGTATATATGCTATGTGATTATATCATAGCGTAACAATTGCTTATTAAATGTTTGCAAAGCATTAAAAAAATAACTATAGAGCACATGGATACATGGTTATATAGGTCAAAATTAACATTCAAAGTTAATAATTAAGATAAGTAAGATATATAACTAGCTAAATTAATTAGATATGTGATTGACGTTGGGTTATGGGTAGATCGTTAATATATAGTTTCAAATAGGTATCGAATAATTTCACAGTTTTTTTCATGTTTTCTGATAAAGTATATCTACTTAACTATGGTTGTGATATGCATATATTTCTAGATTTAACGCCAGCCAATAAGAAACTTTGCTTTTTTGCTGCTATCAGCTTTATGAACAATGCTTTAAAAACACATTTATAATGAACTTATTGATGTTGCCTTTGGGATTTGTTTGTAAATATTCCAAGCATAGGAATTTTCTTGATAAGCCAATGTATCCAAACTATCTGTAACTATGGATTGACTCAAATGTAGATTCCTACACGTAATAGGGCTTTGCTGCTGTGGCTTATCCGTAGATTATGCCATAAAATTATAAACTCTCTGTGCTGAATTTTCACTTGTCGCATCTTTGTGCTAAATTCGTTGTCCATTTTATGGCTCATAAGCATTTTGAGCATTTAGTGTATTGGCTGTAAACTAAATTGAGTGTGGATAGGTGGAGGGGGGGATTAATTAGTAGAAATACAATCGTAAAGCGAATCATAAAAAGCAAAGGCAACAAAACGTATTTTGCAATTGTAAGTGTATACAAAGTGCGTTGTTGCTGCAAGTCTTTGGCCAGCTCCTTTCACGTTTATGATTGCGTACGGCCTTTTGTCTGTTGTCTGTTGATGGTCGATGCTATGTGTTGGCCTGTTCTAGTTTGAGCGGAATCATATTTAATGACTCCAAGAGGAGCAGCTCCTAATGCATTGACAGGGCCCAGACGGAAGGGGGCACAAACGTTAATGGCTGCTAGCCAAAAACAGTTGCCCCTTGTTGTTGCGGGCACAAAAAATAACTGTATTGAATGGCCCATACCAATGCCAATGCCTAGGACAGCCTCGCAACGTGGCTTAGAAAGGTTCTGCGGCCTGTTACAATTTTTAGCCTTGCCAGCAGAAACCAGTTTCTGTTGTCTGCAAAAGGCGTTTCGCTAGAGCTCAGGCCTAGCCCTGGGCTCTGGCAGTGCCAGAGCTGTCTCATCTGTTGTCTATTTGGTGTGGCAGTGCCAGCCTCCTCCTGTTGTCTGTTGCCTGTTGCCATTTGCTGTGGGCCTGTTCCCAGTGCAACATTTACTTTGTTGCCGAGATGCTTTCTCTGCGACCGTGTTGCCAGGCTGTGGCTCGCACTTTGATTTGGTTGCAAATTCGGATCTAAGCCAACGTAATCGAAATGCAATTAAGAACTCTGTGTTCGTACTCTTCCTATACCCCATACACATGAACCCGTTAACGGGGTATATTCACATCTTCAACCAGCATTAACAGGTGTGTCAATCTAATCACAGATTAAATGAATTGATCAATATTATCAAAAAGCTTTTCTCCTATTTCCAGCATTAATGGAAAATAATAAACTTGTTGAATGCCTCAATCTGTGCCCCACAAAATCGAAGTATTAACAGCCCTATTTGGATTTGGATACCACATCGTATCAGCTCGTGGCTGGGTAAAGGATAACTCCTAGTCGGAGACTTTCGACTGGAGCACTATTGTTTTACTATTTTTTGTTGTTGTCGCTTCGGTTGCCACTTTTGTTCTGGCTCTCACACGAGTCTGGGCCATTTTGATATGGCTTTTAGAAAGTCCAGTGCCTGGCGTCCGA